TGGGATTACACTTTGGAAGGTTGTTTTTTTGGTTTTTTGTGGGTTTGGGGTTTTTTTGGCATTTATATGTATATAATGCTCATGCAGAAAGACATCAGAGCCTGAGCTAAAATTGTTGCAGAAGGAATCAAAGTTTAGAAAACATATTTGAGAGATATTTCAAAGGCACTCCTGGACTTGGCAACAGGTCGGGTTTTGGAGAAGGAATCGCCAGGTTTGGTACCTGGGTGACTGAGGAATTGTGGTGGCATTGACACAGGAGTCGGGAAGAGAGCAGCTGATGGGGGACAAAGGATTCTCTTTTAGACATCTTGCCTTTGAGGTGCTGGGAGGACCTCCAAGGGAAGATGCCCACAAAAGAAGTACTGAAACCAAATTCAGCATTTGAGGAATGGAGCCAGAGTTACTGAATAGAATTCACCCATGGCAGGCAGGAGCGAGAGTGGATGAACTGCCACAAATTCAGGAGTGGCAGAAGAAGCCAAGGACAGAGCCTGGGGATGGCCACGTGTCCCTGCCCAGCCTCTGCTCCCGCTTTTCCTCATGCCGTGCTTCTGCTGACATCTAGAAGAGCCACGCAACAAAGACACCAACTTGCTAGGACGGGCTGAGTCTAATGAATTTCTTCCATGCGAAAAATCCTTTAGATTGGAGGCTTCAGGTAATACAGAAAGACTGTATTCATATTTTATCAATTTTTCTTTATTGAATATACTTAGATTAAAATGAATCTGTAGTTCTAACTTGGGAAAACCACATAGCTCCTTCCTGCTTCAGAAAAAAATGACTCTAATTTTTGGTGTTGATTCTGATTTTCTGCTCATTCCTCCTCAGAAAATGTCAATTTCTGAAACTAGAAGGAATTCAAAATTCAGAGGAGCTAAAATATTGCAAGCTTCCCTCTATAGTTTATTTTTCCAGGGCCTTCCCTGGGTAGAGATGCACAGGAAATGAATGGTTACTGCACTGAGGTATTTGTAGTATAAATATAATTTGTTAACTTTAGACCATTTTCCTACGCTTTACTTCTCCCATAACTAAAATTTCATTTTCTTGTGGAAAAGAAAAAACGTAGGTAATCTTAAATAAAATAGACTTTGCTCTTGAGTATACAATTAACTTTTATTTTTGTGTGCAAATTTTATCCAGTGAATCATAGTATGACCCATCACTGTGGAAACTTTTTTTAAAAAAAACCCTAAACTCATAATTTCCTTTCTGTGTTCTAAAGGTCAAATGCTGCAAATACTGGCCAGATGACACAGAGATATACAAAGACATTAAAGTTACCCTGATAGAAACAGAACTACTAGCTGAATATGTGATAAGAACATTTGCTGTTGAAAAGGTAAGTTTTCATACTGCTTTGGAAAGCTGTGGTCAGATGTTAGTGGTACCATAGCCTCATTAACTTGTCTAGGGTAATTTACATGTGGTCATGCCTGAATGCACGTAGGCTCTACCCGGTGGTTTCTCAAGACTGCATCTTGCTTTCTGATTCTATAGTAGCTCAGGTTCACCTTTAAAGTGAATCATTCCCATTTCATAAGAATCTATATTTTGCAAATAACCCAGAGAAAAATGTCTATTTTCTTCTTTTTTTTTTTTTTTTTTGTGACCGGTAAGGGGATCGGAACCCTTGGCTTGGTGTCGCCCGCAC